CATTTTCGGTTTCTTAACCGATCCTTGTTCCCACAGAGCCTCCTGTCGCTGAGCCCTGACATGCCATCTGACCACGGAGAGACGGAGTCCATCCCAGGCTGGCCCCCCTCCGGGCTCTGGAGCCCCAGCTCACCCGAGAGGAGCCGGGTTGGGATCAGTGGCCGCCTGCCTGGCCGCTCCACCAGCCTGGTGGAGAGTCCAAGCTGTGGCTGGGTGCCACCACCCCCGGGTTTCGCACCCCTGGCTCCCCGCCCAGGCCCTGAACTGTCGCCTTCACCCACCTCACCTACTGCGACTCCCACCACCTCATCCCGGTACAAGACCGAGCTGTGTCGGACCTTCTCCGAGAGTGGGCGCTGCCGCTACGGGGCTAAGTGCCAGTTTGCCCACGGGCTGGGCGAGCTGCGCCAGGCCAGCCGCCACCCCAAGTACAAGACCGAACTCTGCCACAAGTTCTACCTCCAGGGCGGCTGCCCCTACGGCTCACGCTGCCACTTCATCCACAACCCCAGCGAAGATCTGGCTGCCCCGGGCCACCCTCATGTGCTGCGCCAGAGCATCAGCTTCTCGGGCCTGCCCTCCGGCCGCCGACCGTCACCACCACCAGCAGGCCTGGCAGGCCCTTCCCTGTCCTCCTGCTCCTTCTCTCCCTCCAGCTCCCCACCACCGCCACCTGGGGACCTTCCACTTTCACCCTCTGCGTTCTCTGCTGCCCCTGGGACCCCGGTGGCCCGAAGGGACCCCACCGCAGTCTGTTGCCCCTCCTGCCGAAGGGCTACCCCCAGTAGCGTCTGGGGGCCCTTGGGTGGCCTGGCTCGGAGCCCCTCTGCACAGTCCCTGGGATCTGATCCCGAAGAATATGCCAGCAGCGGCAGCAGCCTAGGGGGATCCGACTCGCCTGTCTTCGAGGCTGGGATTTTTGGGCCACCCCAGCCACCTGCAGCCCCCCGGCGACTCCCCATCTTCAACCGCATCTCTGTTTCTGAGTGACAAGTGCCCGCCCAGTACAGATCAGCTGGATCTCAAGGGGGCCATTTCTCTTTTGCTGTGGGTTCCACAGGGGCCCCGGGGCTGTGGGGAACTTGGGGGACTCAATCAAGTAGCCTCCCCCTACCTTCCAAAGTGCATTAACCCACTCCCCTGACCCCACGCTGGGGCAGGTCCCCAGTGTGCAAGCTCCGTGTTCATGGTGTTGGGGTGGGGAGTTTTCTGGGTCTTGTAAAAAAAAAAAAAGAAGTATGTAGCAGATTTGAGGAAGGCAGTGAGCCCTCTACCCACCCCTCCCTTTCCCAATGCTGTGAATAATAGGCTCCCACTCACTGCCCCCTCCCAATTTCTCCTAGACCCTGAGGTTCCAGAGTCTGGTGGTGACTGGAGCCTCCCCCGAGGGGGAATCCTGGTGCTCGAATTTCCCTCCAAAAGCAAGTAGCCAAAGCCATTGCCAAACCCCCCCACCCCAACCCCCCCAGCCATTGGGCCCTTTATTTATGACGACTTTATTTATTCTAATGGATTTTATAGTATTTATATATATTGGGTCGTCTGCTTCCCTTGTATTTTTCTTCCTCCTTTTTGTAATATCGGAAACGATGGAATAATTATTGTTATAAGTATGCTATAATAATATATTAAGTAATATATTGTTAAAAGTTTATTTTTGTGGTTTTTGGAATTTTTAAATAAAAGGAATCTGTGTGTAAACTGCAGTCCCGGAGTCCTCTGCGGTCGAGAGGGGCGGGGAGTGTTTAGAAGCGGGAGAGGGTAGGGTCCGCCGACGGCCCCTCCGCCCCCCCCTCCCCGCAGGCCGAGCCGCCCGCGGCGCTTACCTGGCAGGAAGTGACGTCACCGGGCCCGGCCGTTCACCTGAGAGGGCGGGCCCAGGTGAGGTCACCCTCGGATCTCGGAGACCAGCTGCCGTCCGGCCGGGCTCCGTGACCCACAGGCCTCGGCCGGGCGCGGGCGGGACGGCATGTTTCCGTCCCCACGGGGCCGAGGGAGGAGGGCGGGGCGGAGAGGACGGAATGTGCCGGGGCGCGAGCCCAGGACGCACGGGGGCGGCGCGGCGGGGGGGAGGGGGCATCCCGAAAGTCGGGGCGCCCGGGGTGCCGGCGGCCTTCCGGGACGTGACAGCCTGGGGTGGGGGGTGAGGGGGGACTCAGGCTTTCGGGACCCGGGGGGAGGCGGCGTGAAAGCCTCAGGATTCGACTCTCGGAGTCTCGGCGCCCTGGAATCCTGGACTCTCGTGGCTCGGAAACCTTGCGGGGCCCGCCCAGTGCCGCCTGCGGCTTCCCGGCCCGACCCTCCGAGGGGCAGGGTCGTGGCCCGTCGGGCCCCGAGGAGCTCGGCGTTGCGGGCCGTCGGCGTCCGGGGGCCTTGGGGGCGCGCGGCCGAGGCGGGGGTCCCCCCCCAGACCCGGGGCGGGTCGCGGCCGCGTCGGGCGGGGCCCGGGGGACCGCGGCGGCCTCGGACCATACAAGGCAACAGGCGGCGGGACCCACCCTGCGGCGGGGGAGCCGGCCGCCCCGCGCCCGGAAGCCGCCCCGCGTCAGCGCCGGCGCCCCGCCCCCCTTCCGCCGCCGCCTCCCCTGCCCCTTCCCCCGCTCCCCTCCCCCACTTCCCTCTCGGCTCCCCGGCCTCCCCCGTCAGTTCCTCCTCCCCTGACCCTCCCCCTCCCCCTCTCCAAGGCCGCCCCTCCCCCAACAGCCCTCTCCCTTCCCCTGGTTCCCCATCCAGCCCCCCCCCGCCCCTTCCCCCTTCCTCTCTTTCCTTCAGTTCCCCTCCTCCTCTCCCTGCCCCCCCTCCCCCCCGCCTGCCCTCTCCACCCTGTTCCTCCCTGCGTCTCACTCATTGTCTGCTCGGTTCCACCTCCTCCCCACCCCTCTGCGCTCTCCTGCTGGGGTCCTGCCTCTGCCTCTCCCTCTCCAGTCCCCCCCCTCCTCCTCTGCCCCCCTCCCCTCCTCCGGCCTCCTGGCCCTCTCCTCTTTGGTGCTCTCTCGCCCCCTGGCCGACCCTGGCCATTCATCTTCCCTTCCAGGACACTGGCCTCCCTTCATTTTTGGGAAAGGGCTCAGATCCCCACGCTTAGGAGAAAGGGTTGGAGTAAAAGACAAACACGGAGACCCAAAGACATTGGGGAGGCCGAGAGCAAGAACAAGCGGTGCAGACGTCTACAGAAGACACGAAAGAAAGAGAAACTGACATCTCTGGCCCTTCCCTTAGCAAAAACAAAACAAAACAAAACAAAAAACCAAAAAACAGGTTCTCTGCCCCTTCGAAAAACAGAAACTTCATCTTTGAAAATGACCCGTATGGCCAGCTACCAGTGCCAAACACCTGCGAGTGCCCTTGGCTCCTCTTTGTCAAACCCACACCCCGGTCCAACAGCACTTGTGTCTGATTCATCCTGTACAGTGATCCACCTGCCTCCTAGGGGCCTCACCCGGGTCCCATGCTGTGGCCCCCACCTGGGTCCCATCCAGCATCATCTCCCCCCCTGAACCTTCCTAGCAGCCCCTTCCCGCTCTCCTGGCTCAGGAACCTCCCTCCCCAACAAGACAACCACAGGGAACCTGTCCTGCCACCTGAGTCAGTCAGGTCACATTAAAGGCAAAGGCCCAAGTCCTCACCAGCCTACAAGGCCTGGCTCTTATCTTTGGCCACTCTTTTGCTCCAGCCACTGGCTTCCTAGCCCCTCACCAATATAGCTGTCCTGCTTCAGCCCCGGGGCCTTTCCACGACTGCTGCCTCTGCCTGGAATATACCCCCCAGGCATCCTCATGGCCTACTTCCCTCCTTGAGGTCTCTGCTCAGATGTCTCCTCAGTGAGATGGTGTTTCACTACTAGGATCACAATCCTCACTGAAGCTCGAACACCCTCATCTCATCCTCCCTACTTTGCTCTGCTTTTTCTCGGACATTCACCACCATGTAACACATAAAATGTAGTTTTCATGTTTACATGAAACCTCCCCACTGGAGTGTCGAATCCTCAGAAGCAGGGACTTGGTCTTGTTAATTGCTCATGCCTAAACCCTAAACAGAAGTCAGCCACGTATTGGATGTTTAGCATTTGTTCAAAGAAACACATCAATGCAGGAAAAGGGAGGAAGAGAGGGAGTAGAAATTAACTCCAAGACACAGGCGGAAAAAAATTAGTAACTATATGACGTGATTGATGTTAAGTAAACTTACGTAATCATTTCACAATTTATGAATATATTGAATCATGTTGTACAATACGGTGTTATATGGAAAAAAAAAATCCAAGACAGAAAAGATGAAGAGGCAGTGCCATACACAGTTTGCGGAGGACACTACACCTCTACAGAAGTCTTAAACTGAGATTTGCAGACCCATTTAAGAGGCCATACTACCCTCTGGCGGCCCGGATGGAAACGGCACCTCCCCGCAACACAGGCCGCTCTCCCGGGCGATCGCGAGTTCCAGGAGTCTTTCCAGCCCGAAAACTCCGAAGATCAAAACATTCATTCCTATAAGTGACGATGTGATGTTTTTGGTGATTTTTAAGACGTATACATTTCTAAAAAGAAGCCGAGGAAAAAAAGATGCTCCAGGTGAGGATCGAACTCACAACCTCGGCATCGCTCCGCTCGCACTGTCGTATAAGTACCGCGCGCTAACCGATTGCGCCACTGGAGCTCCGGCCGCACCCTCGCGTCGCGCGGTCCTTCAGTCGTTCTTGGCCACGTGACTTTACTGGACAGCTCCGCCTTTTACTGCATATGCAAATAAGAATCTTTTGGTTGACCAATGGGAGAAAGCGGGCTACCAGTTCCGGATTCTCACGCCCCGAAGGCCCTTGCTGTAAAAGGGAAAAGTAAAAGAGAGGCGTTTGGAATGCGGGGGCGGGGCCTGCCTGGGACTCGCCTTCTCATGAATATTCAGAGACAGGGGGAGGGGTCTTAACCCTTTATCCGCTGGCCGGCCGGAAGGCAACCCCTCCCCCCGCGGGCGGGAACAGGATATGAGCCCGGGCGGCTGGGGGGGGAGGGGAGGCCCCAGGCGACCGCCCCCCGCCTCACAGCTGGGACCGGACTCTCCCGCCACAGATGTGGCGCCGCCGCCGCGGGAGCCCCGCAGTACTGGTCCCAGAGCCTGAGGGGTTCAAAGTCGTGGACTCGGGAGTCGCGAGTGTGCACCGCGCCCTGAGACCCCGAAGCGCAGGCTAAAGGAGCCCAGATATCCAGGTGCCCAGCGCCCCCTCCTGGAGGAGCCGGCAGTCCGGGACCTCAGACCGGCGCGATCCAGGAGGCCGAGCTTCCCGCACCCCGGTTTAAAGAACTTCGGATCCTGGACCGGTGATTTCCCCCAGGGGTTCCCAGACACCCGAGCCCAGACATCCGAACTTGGCACACGGACTCCTAGCGCCCCAGCCAGTCTGGGGCTGAAACGCCCACTACTTCAAGGGGACCCAGGAATTTGGGACCCCGGCCTGGAGATGGTTTAACCTCTGCTCCTGGAGTTGGGAGAACTCGGGAATCCGGTCGCCCCACGGCCCTACCTAGAAGACTCAGGAATTTGGGTCCGCAGCGCCCCGTGCGAGACCCAAGAGTCGGGACCCCCAGCATCCCTCGCTTAGAGGACCGAGCAGTTCGGACCGCTGCATCCCACTCTCTGAGAGGCCCCGGATTCTGGTCCCCGGAGCCTGAGAACCCGAAGTGCGCGCCCCTGACTCGCGGAGACCGGGGAGTCCGGCCTTGCGCCTCCCCGGGGACCGTGCTGGGGTCGAATAAGCAGCGAGCAGCCTCGGCTCGGGGCTGGAGGCTCCCTGGGAGGTGAGGGGGGAGGCGAGGGGCCCCGACGGGCTGGGGGAGGGGGCGGCGCCGCAGCCGCCGAACAATGAGGGGGCGTGCCGGCGGGGGGCGAGCGGAGGCGCCGGCGGGAGTTTGGGTCTGGAGGGGTGTGGGAAGGCGCTGGGGACCCGGCTGCGGCGGTGGGGCCAGTAAGCGGATCGCGGAGGGACCGGCCGGAGGAGGGGAGGTGGGTCGAGGGCTCAGGGCCAGCGCCCCAACTCGCAGTCCCGGGCGGGGGAGGGAGCCGTCTGCAGGACCCTGGCATCCGGTCCCCCAGCCTCCTCCGCCCTCCCCTGGGACCCCGCGGCCTCCCGCCCACGGCTTTTCCCAGCCCTGCCCCTCGCCCTCCGCTCCAGCCGGAGCCCGAGCGTTCCCAGGATCCCTGAGCCGCCGGCCCCGGACAGACCAGGCTCCCGGCTTCACTCTTCTTTGTCTCAACCTTTCCATCTTTTCCTCTGTGTTCCCTCTCCTTGTGCCCCTCTTTCTGGCGCTCGGCCTCCGTCTGCCCCATTCGTTACTCTCGGGGGTCCCGCGTGGGTTTAGACCGTGCTCCTAAGTCCCTGGCCCAATCTGTGAGTGTGGGCGGAGGGGGAGGCTGATGGGGTCCTCGCATCCCAGAAGGGGGTCTTCCTGCTGCAGCCGCTGAGCCTCTCAGCCATGCCCGAGGGAGCCCGGGGACCCAGCCTGTCCAAACCCAGCCCTGGCCTTGGCCGCGGCCCCACAGGTGAAGTGTGCAACTGTGCAGCTGTGTGTGAGACCCAGACAGGTGAGCGTGCAAGGGAGGGTGGGGGTCTGCTGGGCGTTTGTCCTTCATTCCGGGCACTGCAGCCCTCGGTGGCTGGCCGGGTGCTGGGCAGTGCTGACAACACAGGGTGACAGGGACAGTCCCAGCCCTGCCTATGCAGAGCTCTGCGCAGGCGGATGACACGGTCCCCAGATGGGGACAACCCAGAGGGGGAAACCCAGGTCACGGCTGGGACAGGGTGTAGGGGGGGTTGGTAGAGAAAGACCCGTCCCCTCACCGTGGGAGCCCCGTCTGGGAAGGCCGTGGGTGCTGTGCGGAGGAGGGGACATCTAAACAGAACCGAAAGATTAGGAGGATGGAGTTGGGAAAAGCAAGGAAGAGTATTCTACGCGGAGGGAACGGGGTGTGCATAGGTGAGAGAGGCCGTTTGGGTTTTTTTTTAAGTGAGTGAAAGCAGTGGAGTAGGACTGGTGACAAGTGATGTGGCTGTGCGAAGAGAGCAGAATGGAAAGGTCTTTAATGGCCGCGTTGCATAAGGCCCTGTGGATCTGATAAGTTTGGACTTTATCCTCAGGATATGAAAGGGTTATACTTGGAGTGACAGGGTCAAATGGGCAAATTAATAAAGATCTCCCAGGCTGACACATGGAGGTGGATTAGAAGAGTGGAGGCCAGAGCCCAGAGAAGACCTTGAAGGGAGAGGACTGGACAGGACCAGAGCAGACCAGGGCAGAGGAGAAGGGAACCCAGGGGAAAGCCCAGGCTCAACCGGGTGGGGGTGAGTGTAGGGCTGAGAGCACTCGCTGTGTTTGGGGAGACCCCCCCTGATCTGCTCCACACTCCCAGCAGCCCCTGCAACCCCGGCCATGGCCTCCCCCCGAGGTTCTGGGAGCTCCACATCCCTCAGCACTGTGGGCTCCGAGGGGGACCCGGCTCCGGGGCCCACCCCAGCTTGCTCAGTGTCCAGGCCAGAGCCCCTTCCAGGGCCTCCCATCCGCCTGCATCTGTCACCTGTGGGCACCCCGGGTTCGGCCAAACCCTCGAGGCTGGAGCGAGTGGCGCGAGAGATCGTGGAGACAGAGCGGGCCTATGTCCGGGACCTTCGCAGCATCGTGGAGGTGAGGCAGGTGGGCACCTGAGCCCAGTGGGAACCCCGGCCGGCCTCCACCCCCATAACCCCAGTCACCCCCACAGGACTACCTGGGCCCTCTGTTGGACGGTGGGGTCCTGGGGCTGAGCGCGGAGCAGGTGGGCATACTATTTGCCAACATCGAGGACATCTACGAGTTCAGCAGGTCAGAGGTGGGAGGGATGGGCCAGGGCACCGGCCGGCAGGGTCAGGGGTGGTGGGCTGTAGCCTGACCCAAACCTTGGAGCCCCATCGTGCCCCGTCCAGGCTGGTACCTGGGCTGTAGCGCCACCGGGCAGGGATCATGACGGGGAGTGAGGACCCAGAGTGGCGGAGGGTGAGGGGGATGGAGCCTGAGGACCCAGATGAGGTCTAAATATTGGGGTGTCTCAGCACCATGTCAGGTCTGGGATCACGATGGATCCGGGGCTCCCGGGCCTGAAGATCATGCCAGTGTGAGCATTTTCATCACCATCCCGTCCTGGGAAACCCCTCAGTCCCAGACAAACCAGATGGTTGGCCGGGACCCAGCGAGGACGAGGCTGGGATCCAAGGATCTTGACACCTGCGAGCATCTTAATGAGATCTTGAGATCATTGCAGGAGATCTGAGAAGTCATGACAAGCTCTCAGGATCTTAAGATCATCACAGTTCTGAGGGTCATGACGCCCCTCTCCTGGGGTCATATCACAAGATCCCCGCCCCCAGGCTCATGTCAGCTGTAACAAGATTTTGGGCTGAGGAAGGTGACGCTGTCCGTGGATAAAGGCTGAGCAGGTTGTGATCTCCCGTGTAGCACTCGGAAGACTCCCTTTGGATAGGTGGCCCCTTGAGAGATCCTGACCGCCAAGTCCCCAGCTTCCTGGAGTCCTCCCACAGGGGGCTTGGGGGCTGGGGCAGTCCCTCACCTCCCCCTCTCCCCCACAGTGAGCTCCTGGAGGACCTAGAGGGCAGCCCCAGCGCAGGGGGCATTGCCGAGTGCTTTGTGCAGAGGGTGAGTCAGGGGTGACGGTGCCCAGTCTGGGATGCAGTGGCCTGGGTGGGGGGCGGGGCAGACCTGGGCCAGGCCTGAGGGGGGCCCATGGGGCGGGGCAGTCACACCTCAGCTCTCCCTCCCATGTCCCCCGCAGAGTGAGGATTTTGACATCTACACGTTGTACTGCATGAACTACCCGAGGTGAGGGGTGAGGAGCCCCTGCTGGGCCCCAGGCCTTGCCCACTGAGCGGATGCGCCAGCCAGCCTCCCTCCACCCCCTCCACCTCCACCCGCCCAGCTCGACCCCTGCCTGACCCCCCCACCTCTCCCTAAGCCGCCCCTGACCGCCCCCCAGCCCCCCCCAGCCCCTGCAACCCTGGCCACTCCCAGCCCGCCCACCGAGGCCGCCAGCTGACCCCTGACCCCTGCTGTGCCCCCAGCTCCCTAGCCCTGCTCCGGGAGCTGTCGCTGTCCCCGCCCGCAGCCCTGTGGTTGCAGGAGCGCCAGGCCCAGCTCCACCACTCGCTGCCCCTGCAGAGCTTCCTGCTCAAACCTGTTCAGCGGATCCTCAAGTACCACCTGCTGCTGCAGGTCAGCCGTGGCCCTGGGGGGCTGTTCGCGGTGGGCGGGGGGGGGGGTGTCCGGGTGGTACATCTGGAGGGTGGGCCAAAGGACAAGTCCCCTAGAAACCGGGACACCAGTTGGGGCTGGGGCTTCTAGCGCCTGCTGATTCCACTTTCTGTCTCTGCTGTTTGTCCCCTTCTCTGGGTCGCCACCTCTGCCCCTACCTCTGTCTGTCTCCTGTCGTTCTCCTCTTTCTCTCATGTCTATCCCCTCCCTGGGTGCCTGGTGGCTGCCTGGCAGGAGCTTGGCAAGCACTGGGCGGAGGGCCCGGGCGCCGGGGGCCGCGAGATGGTGGAAGAGGCGATTGTGTCCATGACAGCTGTCGCCTGGTACATCAATGACATGAAACGCAAGCAGGAGCATGCTGCGCGCCTCCAGGTGACCCCGGCGGGGGAGGGGCGGCTGGACAGGGCAGGGGGGGTCTTTGGCAGGGGGAGGGTGGGGATCGGTGCTCCCCGGGTGGCCTCGGAGGGCTGTGTTGCTAACGCCCCTGTCTTGCTGTGCCCGCTTCTGTGCCGTCGCTCCTGGCGGGGCCCGGCAGGAAGTGCAGCGGCGGCTGGGCGGCTGGACCGGCCCGGAGCTCAGTGCCTTCGGGGAGCTGGTGCTGGAGGGCGCCTTCCGAGGCGGCGGTGGGGGCGGCCCCCGACTTCGAGGGGGCGAGCGGCTGCTCTTTCTCTTCTCCCGGATGCTGCTCGTGGCCAAGCGCCGGGGACCGGAGTACACCTACAAGGGCCACATCTTCGTGAGTTCAGGGTTGGGGGCGAGGCCAGAGGGTTACCTGCCAGCTGTGTCGTATATACCAGTGTCCTTACAGGGAGGACCCGGGGCACGGTCTGCAAAAAAGGGACCACCCAGCTTAAAAGGGCCACGTTTTCTTGAGTCCAAGGATGGGAGGGTGAGGTTTAATGAGGGGTGAGGCCAAGCAGGATGCAGGTGAGGACCTGGGGAGCGGAGGGCTGGATTTGCCCACCTGGCAAGCATCTTCTTGATTCAGATGAAGGCGAGGGGCTGGTGAAGGAGGACAGAGCCCAGCCTGGTGGGGAGGCTCCCAGGGGCAAAGGGGACCCACCACGCAACGTTAGGGGCACATCTGTCTGGGAGGTAGGGACCCAGATAGGCACAGGAGGCCTCTGCCCAGTCTAAGGTTGCTGCCCCTCAGTCTAAGGTTGCTGCCCCTCTGTCTCCCCTCACCCCAGTGCTGCAACCTGAGTGTGAGCGAGAGCCCTCGAGACCCTCTGGGGTTCAAGGTGTCCGATCTGACCATTCCCAAACACAGGCACCTGCTCCAGGTGAGTGCCAGGTGGGGCTGGGCGGTCAGGGTTCCCCTCGGTCCCTAGACCTCACACCCGGCTCCCTACTTCCACCCCATCCCACCCCCAGGCCAAGAACCAAGAAGAGAAGAGGCTGTGGATTCACTGTCTCCAGCGCCTCTTCTTTGAGAACCACCCGGCCTCTATCCCTGCCAAGGTACAGCTCCTGCCCATCCGTGGGCCTTCAGCGTGCTGGAGGACTAACCCCGGGCCCCCCAGTACCGCAAGACCCTGAGTGCGGGGGCACCCACTTAGACTGTGATCGATAAATCACAGAGTCAGGCTGCCTGGGTTTGAATCCCAGCTCCACCCTGCGACTCTGTGACTTCGGGCAAGTAACGCAACCTCTCTGGTCTCAGTTTCCTCCCCTGGAGGAATCAGCACCGACCCCCCCAGAGTCGTGGTGATTGCTAACAATCATCAGCTTCACACGTAGCAGCACCCGTTACCGGGACTAGGACAGGGGTGCTCAGAGACGAGGCCTCCGGGACGCCACCCTTGTCCTTGTCTCTTTCAGGCGAAACAAGTTCTCCTTGAAAACAGCCTGCACTGTGAGTTGAGGCCTTGGGTTGGGAGAATGTGGGAGTAGAGGAATTCCTCCCCAAGGAGAAGGAGATTATTGGGTTCCAAATTTCTACCCCTAGGTGCTCCTAAAAGTAAGCCTATCCCAGAGCCCCTGACACCCCCGCTTGGGTCTCCCCGACCTCGAGATGCTAGAAGTTTCACCCCTGGACGAAGGAACACAGGTAAAGACGGAACCCTGAGGATCCCCCCACCTCTTCCCCCAGCAGCTGCACCCCCAGCCTTCTCCTCCTTCAGGAGCTGGGGCTGGGCCCCTCACGGGCTTCTAACCTGCCTCTCCCACAGCTCCGTCTCCAGGACCCTCTGCTACCCGCCGTGGCCGCAGACAGTCCGGTGAGTGTCCTCCACCTAAAGGTTGACTGGAGATTGCGGTGGGAGCTGGGCCCCTGACGTCACTGTGTCCTCTCCCCAGAGCCAATGAAGGACCCGTACGTTATGTTTCCACAGAACGGTACGTGACCGCCCTGGCCCAGCTGGGTGCAGCCCTGTCTGTCTGTCTTCACAGGGGATGGCCTGTGTGCATGGTGGAGGGGTGGCAGGGGCAGCTCATCGGTGGGTCAGGAAGGGCCTTATTCCTGCATCTCACTCTTCTCTTTCTCATCTCTCCATCCCCAGCTCAGCCTAGACTCAAGGTAAGAAGTCTCCTAGGGAAAAAAAAAGAAGTCCTCTAGGACAGGATCTGGGGACCCAGACTCCTGGGTCTGGGAGGAGGGGACAGGGCCCTCGACTCCTATCCTCCATCCTCTCTCCTTGCTCACAGCACGCTGGCAGTGAGGGGGAGCTATACCCCACCTTAGAGCCTCAGCCACCAGTTCCAGCTTCCGGACCCCCTGAGGACCTGGAAGACACTGGACCCCCCACCCTGGAACCCTCTGGGACCTCGATCACTGAAGAGATCCTGGAGCTGCTGAACCAGAGAGGCCTCCGGGATCCAGCGGTGAGCTGGGTGTCCCAGCATCGTGTCCTTGGGGCTCTTGGCTGGGGGTCGGGGGTGGGGGGCCAGCCCGCCCTGATTATCTTTGGCCTCTTCCACACTGCCCACTACAGCCATCGCCCCACGACATCCCCAAGTTCCCTGGAGACTCCCAGGTGCCGGAGGGCAGTGACCCCCTCACATTCCAAGCCCTGCCCAGCCGGGACTCTTCAGAAGAGGAGGAGGAGGAGGAGCTGGAAATGGACGAACGGGGGCCTTCCCCACTCCATGTCCTGGAGGGGCTCGAAAGTTCCAGCGCAGCTGAAAATCCTGACGTTCCTGGCCTTACGAAAAGTCCAGATACACCCAACCTCCCTGAAATTCCCAGCCTGTCTGAAATTCCCAAGATTCCCCACCTTCCCAGTCTGTCAGACATTTCCAGTGTTTTTGAAATGCCCTGCCTTCCAGCCATACCTAGTGTCCCTGACATTCCTAGTCTTCCCAGCGCTCCCACCCTGCCCTGTGACTCATGGCTCCAGGGACCTCTGCGGGGGCCCGATGAGGCCCTGGCCACCAGGAGAGAACTGTTCCCTGGAAGCAGTTCCACAAAACTGGGAGAGCCGTCCTCAGGCGGCAGGGCGGGGCGGGAGGAGGCTGCGGAAGGGGAGTCGTTCCCAGACTTCCAGCCGCAGGATGTCCCCCGAGATCAGGGATTCCCGGATGAGCTGGAATTCCGCTCCTGTTCGGAGATCCGGAGCGCCTGGCAGGCCCTGGAGCAGGGGCAGCTGGCCCGGCCGGGTTTCCCGGAGCCACTGCTCATCCTGGAAGATTCGGATCTGGGCGGAGGCAGCGGCGGGAGTGGGAAGGCAGGAGCCCCGAGTTCGAGTTCGGAGCGGGCGGCCTCCCGAGTGCGAGAGTTAGCCCGGCTTTACAGCGAGCGCATCCAGCAGATGCAGCGGGCTGAGACCCGGGCGTCGGCCAACGCCCCCCGCCGCCGGCCGCGCGCCCTGGCCCAACCGCAGCTGTCCCCCTGCCTGCCGCACGAGCAGGCTGAGCCAGGTGAGGTCCAGGTGTGTGTCCGCAGAGACGGCCCACGCGGAGACGGGAGTGCTGACTCGGTTCTTTCTGTGCACACAGGGCCCCTGCCTGCCTTTGGACATGTGCTGGTGTGTGAGCTGGCCTTCCCGCTGACCTGTGCCCAGGAGTCTGTTCCTCTGGGTCCCGCCACCCGGGTTCAAGCCGCCACACCTTTGTCCAAGCAGGGAGGCTGCCTGGGGGGCGAGGGTCTAAACGTTTCAAATTTGCCTGAGCAAGACCCTCTGAGCATCCGGGTTCCAGCTGCGGCCCCGTTGCCTGAGCAGAGAGGCCTCTGGAATATACAGAGTGTGGCCGGAGCCGCCGCAGCCGTGCCGAAGCAGGAGGACGCCCCAGGTGTTCGTGTGCCGGCTACAGCTTTGCCTGCTCAGGAAGCCCCCCTGGAAATCCAAGTTCCAGGCACCGCTCCTTTGGCTGAGGATGGAGGCCATGTGGACATCCGGGATCCAAGCAGCCCCGCTTTGCCCAGGCGGGGATGCTGTTCCGATGTTACGGTTGTAGCCACGGCCACTACGCCCAAGCAAGAAGGTCACCTGCGTGCCCAGACCCCGGCCGGTACCCCGCTAACTAAGCAAGGAGGTCCCCGGGATGTTCAGTTCCCAGCCGGCAGCTGCGATCAGGCCTTGAACACTTCGCTTACGCATGGAGGGAACCATCAGATCCCAGGCAGCACCTCACTGCCCCTGCGACACGAGCTCCCGGACGTTCAGGCTCCAGGTGCCTCACCTGTGCCTGCATGTGGAGGCCACCTAAGCCATCACGTCCCAGCCGGTGCTCCACTGTCTTCACCCCAAGACTGCTCAGACGTTCAGGCTCCGGACCCCTCGCCTTTGCCTGCACACGGGAGCTGCCTAGACCATCGGGTCCCAGCCAGCACACCGCTTTGTGTGCCCCACAACCCAGACGTCCCAGCTACCACACTTTTGCCCCAGCGACCATGCCTCCCGGACACCCAAGTCCAGGCCCTCCCACCTTTGCCCGAGCAGGACAGCCTCCCAGACAGCCCCGGTCCATCTGCTGCACCTTTGTTGGAGCAGAAGAGCCTCACAGAAGGGCACGGTCCAGCTGCAATGCTTTCGCCCGAGCGAAGAGGCTCTCAGGACATCCAGGGCCTGGTACCCACACCGGGCCAGAGCGCCGTGGTTATGTCCAAACTGGGAGGCCACCTGGTCTCTCCTGTAGTCCGGTCAGAGACTTCAGAGTTGACCCCACCCCACAGTCCCGCTCCTCCAACCCGTCAGCTCCTGGGCCCCAATGCAGCTGCCCTCTCAAGATACCTGGCAGCCTCGTACATCAGTCAGAGCCTGGCTCGGCGGCAAGGGCCTGGGGGGGACGCTCCCGCAGCCTCCCGGGGTCCCTGGTCCTCCTCTGCCCCCGCATCGCGGGCACCTTCACCACCGCCCCAGCCCCAGCCCCCACCCCCCCCAGCCAGGAGGCTCAGCTATGCCACCACGGTCAACATCCACGTCGGGGGTGGTGGGCGGCTGCGGCCGGCCAAGGCCCAGGTCAGGTTGAACCACCCCACTCTCCTGGCGCCCCCCCAGGAATCTGTGGGCCTTCGCGGGGCCCAGGGAACTCCTGATGCCCCTTTCCACACATGAGCCGGATGCCGGGCTTCTTGAAAAGCAAGGACCTCAACCAGATGCCACCGACCCTCAGAACTTCACCCTGAAGTCCAGACACTGAACACAGGTGTAAAGATTGCTGCAGCTTTTCAACTCCTGGGAGCTGCTTTGGCAAATGGTCCTTTTTACTTGCCTTGATTAACTCAACAGGGATGGGGAGGGGGATATCATTAATATTTTGTTAATATTATGAAGTTCTGTATCTTTTCCCATTCTGGAGGCAGTGGGGGATGACAAGACAATGAATGCGAAGCTCTGACACATCCGTGAATCAGTGGTTCTGAAAACTGGAGGCATCTCAAACAGTCTGAGAATTAGAACCCTCCATTACCATTCGGTGTTTGCTTTCAGAGTTCAGGAACTGCTCGATGTCATCCAGAAAAGCCAAGTTAAGCAGCTTCATTCCAAGTAGACTTGGAAGGCCATTCCCTTAGCAGTTCAGCCTGTTCCTGTGTCCTAGCTCATCTTGTTCAGCGGTCTCCGTCCATCTCCTGCCTGGCTACCTATTCCAACTTCAATCCACATGCCATGCTTTATTTCGTCCACTCTGCCTCTTCATCGACCCATCATCCTACCCCCATTCTCCTACCCATTCATCCATTCCAACACTGTCTCCTGTCCATGTTGTCCAACCAGCCCTTCTCCATTCATCCATCCCTCCAGATTTGCATCTCTACCCATTCATCTGTCTCTCACTGACTCAGCCATCTAATCCATCAGCGCAGCAACCCAGTGTTCTCTACCACCATCCATCCTTCCTTAGATTCTTTTGGGTCTTGGGACGACAAGATTTCAGGGATTGTTTCACACTAACACTAGAGTGAGTTGGGTTTGGGATTCTGGGAAGTCTGTTCCACATCGGATTTCACTCCCCGACACATGAATGTTCCGATTCTTGTGCCCACCTACACACATCGGATCTTCATACCCCCTCGCTCTAGTTCAGGACCTCTACAGTGCCTCTGTGTCCCCACTCCCAAGAAAGAAATTCAGGTCAGAGACAAAGGCTTTTATGTTAGAATCACTCTGCCTCCTCCCAGCAGTGGCATGCCTGGCGAGCAGCCGAATTTAAGCAGTTTCTTTGGTAATAGACTAGCTTCGTTCCTTGAACGTTAAACGTCTTGTACTTAGCACATTGTCTTACTTAATTTTCTCTGGAATTTCCTGAGGCACCACAGCGTCATAGCTGAGTTCAAATCCTGACTTTTCCAGTTGCTATATGACCTTCAAGTCTGGAGTCTGGGTCTTCTCAACTGCTACAGTTGAGAAATTCTAACAGTACCTGCCCTGTAAGATCATTGTTTGTAAAGATTCAGGGAGCACAGCCTCACTTCCCAAATGTATTTGAGCCTCTGACTCACCAGGGCATTGTTCAACTCACAGATCCCCAAGGACTCAGGCTCTTAGTTCCACCTATGGACTCAGAACCTCCAGGGCAGGAGCCTGGGAATCTGAAGTTTGAACAATCAGCTAACAGGAAAAAAAAAATAAGATTGAGTACCAGCTGCATAGCATGAGCATTAGTCACTTTATGTGAACTCATTCACTTTGAATCCTCTCAATGTCCCTAAAAGGCACGTGAGAATGGTTTCTGATCCTCACTTTAGAGAAAAACAGGAGTATATAGAGAAAAAAAGATTTGCCTAGTCACCTAGCTAAGAGTCCTCTTACCTAAGTGATTCTCCTATGCCAGGCATGGTTCAAGAAAACACTTTCCTTGGAATAAGGCTTGTAGCCTAGCACTCCCAGGGCCCCAGGTAATTCTTAGTTGAGGAAAGTAGCCTAAACAAGGCCTGGCTCAATAAATACTAGCTGCTAGCTTCTTTCATTTGTTTATTGGATGGTTACTGAGCCATACAGCAGGGCCTGGGCCTGCTTGCAGCCTCCCAGAGGTCAGAACGGAGGCTGGCCCTCCCCTCCTCCGCCCCCAGCTGCACACTCTCAGCTGAAGGAAAGTTCTCAGCCTGGCCCGGGCTCCCAGTGGCGCCGGAATTCCCGGTATTTGAGGAGGCGGCAGGGAAGGAGAAAGAGGCCGGCTACTCCATAGCCTCAAGTGGGGAAGGAGAGGCGAGCCCCCTCAGCCTTTCCAGATGCAAGATGCATCCCAGCTGTGCCTCTGGCAGGGAGCCAGGAGCCTCAGAAGGGGGTCCCTCAACCCTGTAGGAACATCAGGCCTGCTTCAACCCCTCCTGATCCCTGCCCCTGGACTCCTACTCCCACCTGCCAGACTCCCAGCTCTCCCTCACAACCCAAGCTGATACCTCCTCAGGTACACTTTCCTTGCAGGTCTACTACAACCTGCCCCGTGTAAGCCCAGCCTTCTTCAAAGCCTCCAGTCAGTTCCATCAGGCTCTGCAGTAGGCCGCCAGTGCCCTGCTGCCCTCTTTGGGACACTGAGGTTAATGCCAGCTAAACCTTTAACCCTTTAACTACACCTCCAGTGCAAAACTTGGTGAGCTGCTCTTGTGGCCACCAGGTTAATTTTCATACCTACCATCTAGACACCTGCCCGCCACCAATCTCCCAGGAACACTTAGCTGGGGATCTACTTGGTGCCCATCAACCCCACTGTCTATCTCTAAGAAGCACTGAGTATACTCCCTGTTACCAGTGCCGTCCTGTAGAATTTTCCTCACAATCCAAGTGTTCTCTCATCTGTGTAGCCCAGTATGCCAGCCACGCTAAGCTACTGTATTGAGTGGGGCATATACAAGCTTTCTTATATCTGCTCCACTGGACAGTAAATTTCAAGTTCCCTCATATGTATATATATATATATGTATGTATATACATATATATATATATATATATATATACATATATATATATATAAATCTGTAAAATTTTCCCTCAGCCAGCAATGTCCAACTGCCATACAATGTTCTTGCTAGTACCCCCAGCAGCCAGGAGAATAGTGTGGCACCTTGGGGACAATGACTGGGGTCATCCAGGTTGGCTGCAAGGTTAATGTATGCGGAGATGCCCTTCCCTCTCAATGAAGGGCTCTTGCTTCCTGCAAAAATGGGAGGGGGAGGGCAGAACAAAAGTTAACTGAATCCACAAGCAACACTTTACTTTCCTATACATACACCAGCACTGTCCCACAGAACTTTTTTAGACAATGGAAACATCCTGTGTTATATGTGTAGCCCAGAAGTAGCAACCGAGAGCCTACTGCGTGTTGGCTCTTACTACATGGGAGGCACAATGGGTGAACAAGTCCTCAGTCAGACACACGTTCTGAGCCCTGCAAAGACAGCCACCACACAGTGTAATCAGGACCTTTCCCCAGGAGGGAGTATTGACAACCTGAAGGGATGGTCAGGGGAAATGCCACACCCACCCCATCTCCCCACATCTCAAGCCTACCTACCTACAGGTTGACATTAGGAAAAATTCCTTTCCAATCTATGTGTGGCCCAAAGTATGACTTTGTAATGCACCTAAGTTGTTTCTCTGGTCTTTGTTAAAGTTTACCAATCTTACACATTTCCCACTCCTCCCTGACATTCCATGACAACAGCAGCAAAGGGACTGGAAAAAAAAAAAAGACAAACTCACAAAGACACCCCACACAACCACTCAACCTCTGCTGTGCCCACACTGGACTCCACTGGAGGTGCAGGGAGATGGAGAGCAAGCCTGCTCCCACCTGCCTCTCCAACCCATCCACACTAACCCTGGGGTGATGCCGGCTTACAACCCAGACTGACACTGGGCCAGGGTGTTTCTTTCCTTTTAGCCCAAGACCCACCACAAACAACCAAAGCACAACCTTTGAAACCTTAAGTCCCACGACAGCGGTTTATTATAAAGCTGAACCCTCATCCTCACAACAATTTCATCGGTAGGATTTCTGGTAGCGAGCACGGGCACCAGGACCGCCAAACTTTTTGGATTCGCAGCGCCGGGGATCTGCCACCAGCAGGGTCCGGTCGTACTGGATAAGGATGTCTTTGATCTCCTTCTTGGAGGCCTCGTCCACATCTGGGAGAAGGACAGTGAAAGGTGAGAGTGGTGGAAGCATCCCCCAGTCTCTGGGCTGAAGATGGGGGCTGGTCCTCAACCTGCCACCCACCCACCCACGGGAAGGAGCCGTTCTCACTCACATTTCTGGTAATAGGCCACCAGCGCCTTGGAGATGGACTGGCGGATGGCTGTGAGGGAAATACATGCACAGAAGAGTATATTAGCTTTGAGAAGGCCCAAGAATAGGGCCTGGCTCTCAGAGCCACCTGCCCATCCGTCCCCCCCATACGCCCAATTCCTGGAACTCACCGTAAATCTGGGCCACGTGACCACCACCCTTCACTCGGACACGGATGTCCACCCCAGCAAATCGCTCCTTGCCCAGAAGCAGAACAGGTTCCAGTAGCTGGAGAAACAGGGGACATGACAGGATTTCCTATCACAACCTGGACAGGTGACTATCTCACTGAGCACCCTACTCCTCTCTCTCCAAGTAACTGCCACCACTGACCTCAAAGCACTAGTGGGCAAGGGGATGCACGGCCAGGAGAGCAGGGAGCACTTGAAGATGGATGAGAGACTCCTGAAGGCAACCTGAGCTGGGCCCTCCTGTTTCTGTCCCTCTGGGCCTCAGTGTTCCCATCTCTAGGACTGGTTCTTAAAAGTGTTAGCATTTTATTTTTTTTTAATTTTTATTTATTTATGACAGTCAGAGAGAGAGAGAGAGAGAGAGAGAGAGAGAGAGAGAGGCAGAGACACAGGCAGAGGGAGAAGCAGGCTCCATGCACCGGGAGCCCGACGTGGGACTCGATCCCGGGTCTCCAGGATCGCACCCCGGGCCAAAGACAGGCGCCAAACCACTGTGCCACCCAAGGATCCCCAAAGTGTTAGCATTTTAACTGAACACGGCAAACCTCTACAACCACCAAAACTACTGCAAACGGTGAAAAGCCACTCCTGGACCATGTCTTGTGCTTTTTCTGGATTTCTCCCCTTGAGCTCTCCGCCCAGCGCTTTGAGCCTCCCATTTCCAAATTACAATACTACACAACCTGTGCCATGCTATCCCCTTGCCGGCTCTAGATGTTTTGCAAGTGCCTGTGTGCTCCTGTTTTACCTACTCTAGGTCTCAGCTCACAGATCCCCATCATCACCTCCACCCACTCCCCAAGCCTGTCCTGATCCTTTCACCCAAGTGGAAGCGTTCTCGGGGCTCTTCCATTCCAACCCAGACTATGCTGGATTAGTGTCTGGTACTGGGTCCAGTCTGCTTCCTCCAGTGGGCTAGGAGCTCTATGAGGGTAGGGCCTGGGACCACCGCTCTGTACACAGGACACACAAGCAAAACTTTTGTGTAACTGACAGTTGGTAAGAGTAAACCACAGTACTCCATTATCTACTATGCCAAGGGATCTCAGACTCTACCCTATTAAATTCTAACTAATAAACCTACTACAGTAAAATTATTTTCCGCACTTAAAAGTAACAATTTTACCACAACCCTACACACTGGAAACTAATGTAACACTGTGTGCCCACTACACTAAAATTAAAAAGTCAAAGGTAATAAAAGCAACATACTTTATGAAGACACAAACGCATTTATTCACATGTTAAGCAGTTTACACTAACAACCTAATTCATCCTCACAACAGTCCTTCAAGGTAGTAGTTATCCCACTTTTATAGAACCCAAAAAAGAAAAATGAAGTTACTTCCCTCAAACAATAACATATATAAAACAGGCAAAAAACAGACTCTGCTCTTTCCATTCCGAGCTCAAGAAACTGAGGCAAAGGGATCCCTGGGTGGCGCAGCGGTTTGGCGCCTGCCTTTGGCCCAGGGCGCGATCCTGGAGACCCGGGATCGAGTCCCACGTCGGGCTCCCGGTGCATGGAGCCTGCTTCTCCCTCTGCCTGTGTCTCTGCCTCTCTCTCTCTGTGACTATCATAAATAAATAAAAATTAAAAAAAAAAAAAACAGGCAAAAACACGCAGGGGACCACGAACCCCTTTCACAGCAAATCACAACAAACCCAAATTCTGTTCCTGTTCTTCCAATATTTAATTGTTGACCATCAACAGTGTCCAAACCCTACTCTTACAAAGTCTTAAGAAACCCTAACAGAAATAAACTGATTTCTGTCCTCTGAGTCTACACTCTAGCAGGAAAAAAGACGTTAGATTGTGAACACAACACACGTCCCGCATTAACTTAGTGCAAGAAACCAGACTGCACCAACTCCTGTTGCCTTTTATACCCCCAGTGAGTGGACTTCCAAAAATCCGAGTTTTTAAAGCATCTTCATTTTTTAAAAAAAGACTTTATTCATGAAAGACACACAGAGAGGCAGAGACACAGGCAGAGAGAAACAGGCTCCATGCAGGAAGCCCGATGTGGGACCCGATCCCAGACTCCAGGATCAAGCCCTGAGCGGAAGGCAGATGCTCAACCTCTGAGCCACCCAGGTGTCCCTGAAAGCACCCTCTTTGGATGCTTTCCAAAGCAAACGTGGATATCTGCAATATCCACGTTTTCACTCTGCCCACTCAAGCTTTTATCACGGTATCTCCAACCCCCGAAAACCACTTCCCAAGGCCCCTTTTTCTCTGCCCCAAACTGTTTCTAAACATCCTCCAGCTTCCAAGGCCAATGAACTCCAGGAACCGACTTACTTAAGCATCTCTTTCTAGCTAGAGGCCTCCACTCAACCCAAACGCCCCTCCCCAATCCAGCACCTTGTACTGCAGCGTGCGTGGCTCGATCATCTCCAGGGGCCGCCCGTTCACCTTGATGAGGCCGTTGCCCCGCTTGCAGTGCGCCACGGCGGTGGCCGTCTTCTGTGGAAAGCAAGGGAGCAACAGCGCAGCCACGTGAGCTTCGGCCCCCGGCTCCCATGTCCACCCCAGAACCGGCCCGTAGGCTTCGGCCGACCCCCGCCTCCCTCCGCCCCTCCCTTCGGGCACCCAGGCTACCTTACGTCCGAAGACCTGCACGGACTGCAGAGGACCCTTGGACGGCATGGCTGCGGCGGTAGGGAAGAGCTCTTCACCGCGCGGCGCTGCAACCGGAAAAGGAAAATGCGGGGCCGCCCCAGCCGCTTTTCAGGGTCTGCGCAGGCGCCTTGGGAGCTGCGTCGCGACGGGAGAGAGCTTGACGGCACATATTGCCTCCAGGGGGCGGGACTTCGGAAAAGCGGCGGGAAGGTGGGTCCAAGGACCGGAGGAGGCGGGACCTGGGAGCGGAAGGGGCGGGGCCTGAAGTGTGCTGCGTGCAATCGCTGGAAAAGGATGAAGACCTGCTGGTCTTCACGCTCGTGGTGGTCGTTGCCCACCGCCGCCACGTTTGTCTTTCGGCTCTTTAAAAATCTCCCTCCACCCAAAAACTCGACTCTCACGCTCCTCAGAAGAGGCTCCCGTTTACCCCTCGCCGCTGGCTATCGTCCTCCCCTGCTCCGCAAATCCTCCTCCCTCGGAATCGCACCTACGGTACCCACAGCAGGAAGTCAGGCGGGATTTCCAGATTCAGGATTCAGAACCCACCTGCTCCGAGAATCCTCTCCCAGAATCTCCTTTTAGCGCCCCACGCTCAGAATCTACTTTTCACCAGAATTCCCTTCCTTTTAGAGTCTCCTCCAGACTCCCCCTCTTCAGAGCCCTCACTCAGTTCCTCTTTCCCCGAATCTTCGTCCACTCAGGGGCCCCGGAAATCTACTTCTGCCCGCAATCCACCCTTCCTGGAACCTCCTCGGTAGAATCCCCTTTGACAGAATTTCTCTCCCTTTTAGAGCTCCCCTCCTCCAAAATCTACTTAAGAATTCCCTTCCCTTTAGAGCCTCCTCTTCCCAGCAACTGCCTCCCCTAGGATGTTCCTCCCCTAGAATTCTCCACTCCTTATACACAGAGAGAGAGGCAGAGACACAGGCAGTGGGAGAAGCAGGCTCCATGCAGGGAGCCCGATGTGAGACTCGATCCCAGGACCCCAGGATCACGACCTGAGCTAAAGGCAGATGTTCAACCACTGAGCCACCTAGGTGCTCCGAGACCCTCCCTTCAGAATGCTCCCCCCTTCAAACCTAGAATCCCTCTTTCTCCAGGGACCTTCAAATCATCTCTTCATTCCCTCCTTCAAGTCACCCTACTCTCCAAGCTCCTCCCCACAGAATTCATCCCTAGCACCCTCCCATCCCATCTGAGGAATCTCGGGAATGAGTTGCCCTTTTACTCCCCCACACTCAGGATACTCCCTCCCCAGGCAAAAGGCTTGTCTCAGAGCTGCAGAGGGGCCACAGTTGCTTCAGTTTCTCTGGCAGCACTGCGTCAGAAGTCCAAGGTTCTTTTTTTTTTTTTTTTAAGATTTTATTTATTTATGAGAGACACACAGAGAAAGGCAGAGAAACAGGCTCCATCCTAGGAGCTCAACATGGGACTCGATCCCACGTCTCCAGGATCATGCCCTGGGCTGAAGGTGGTGCTAAACCGCTGAGCCACCAACGGCGCTGCCCATAAGGTTCATTTTTTTTTTTTTAAGATTTTATTTATGAGAGACACAGAGACACAGGCAGAGAGAGAAGCAGGCTCCCCACAAAGAGCCCGATGCGAGACTGGATCCCAGATCCCAGGATCAGGACCTGAGCCAAAGGCGGACACCCAACAGCTGAGCCATCCAGGCGTCCCTGAAGTCCAAGGTTCAAAGGGCTGTGGTGACTCACTTTGCACCTGGAAGGTGGAGACTGGGTGGAGGTTAGTGGGCGGATCTGTGGCTGGAGGGAGAATCCTCCAGCCCAGAGTCCAGCTCCAACAAGGTGAGAGAGAGGAGAGGTGGGAGGGAGCACCCAGACGCTGACTTGGGGGGACAGACAGACATACAAAGCCCAAGAGAGACAGACACACATGAAGGAGAAAGACAAAGAAGGGGCCAATGGAGAAGAGGAAAAAGAAGATAGACACAGGGTCAATTACAGATGGACCCAGAAAACACAAGTGACGGCGATTCGGAGGCAGAGAGGCCAGCCCTCAGAGAACGAAGACAGACAGGTACAGGCAAGCATGGAGATTTCAAGATATTTGAAATATGGAGAAACTTGATGTAGGAATAGAAGTAGAAAGGAGAGCAGATCCCCAAATATGCACCTGCAAACACTGATAAAGCCTAGCAGGGGTGTTTTCCAATGAGAAGACAGGCCATGGGATTCACGTACTCACACACTCTTATGCTGCCTGATGCACCTGTTGGGGGAGGAGAGTGGGATTAGACTTCCCAAAATCCTCTAATCTCTCTGGGCTAATCCTCATACGCTTGCTGAGTCTTTTATCTTCCTGTGTGTGTGTGGGGGGGGGGTCAGGGAGCCCTCTGACCTGGACCCTCCCTACTGTAGCATGACCATCTTCCCTGGCCTCTTGAAGAACATTCTCTGAGTATCTGTGGGTTGAGTGGAGCTGGACCAGAAGGGGTCAGGACACTTCAGTCTTCCAACTTGCTCTGTCTCTTTGCACTTCTTGCTTCCAGGACCCTGGGCTGGGACCAGAGAAAGCCTGGGTGGTGGGCAGGGTGCCCGTGTGGCCTCTCTGGACCATCCTCCTGCTGATACGGCCCTTGGGAAGCCTAGGATCACCCCTCTGTCCTCGGGAGCCTTTCTACTTCTTAATTGCCATCATGAAGATGCTGGTGAGGAGGAGGGAGGGGAGAGCCAGCAGATAGGCAGGGAGGGGGATGGGGGGGCATGTTTGAAGAAGGGTCCGGCTCTCCCCTCCAAGATCTGATTCTTCTCCCTGCCTCAAATTATAGGGAAACAAAAATGATGGCACTCTTTACACCCCAGATGACCTTTCGGTGAGTATTTCATTAGCTCCTTACTGGGCGTTGGAAATTTAGGGAGAATCCACTAGCTCAGAATACATGTTGGCGGCAGGAGGCAGTGGGGCTGGCGTTTGGCTGTCCAGCTGCTGACCCAGCTCCCAGCCTTCAAATAGATTTTGTTTGCTGCTGTCTCCAATACCTATTTTAAAAAAGATTTATTTATTTGGGATCCCTGGGTGGCGCAGCGGTTTGGCGCCTGCCTTTGGCCCGGGGTGCGATCCTGGAGACTCGGGATCGAGTCCCACGCCGGGCTCCCAGTGCATGGAGCCTGCTTCTCCCTCTGCCTGTGTCTCTGCCTCTCTCTCTCTCTCTCTCTCTCTCTGTGTGACTATCATAAATAAATAAAAAATAAATAAATAAAATTAATAATAAAAAAAGATTTATTTATTTGAGAGAGAGAGAAAGAGAGCACACTTACATGTGAGCAGTGGGGAGGGACAGAGGGAGAGGGAGAGAATCCCAACCAGACTCCCTCACTTAGTGGGAGCCCGATGTAGAGCTTGATCCCATGAACCTGAGATCAGGACCCCAGCCAAAACCAAGAGTTGGACGCCTAACTGACTGAGCCACCCAGGTGCCCTGTGCCATCTCCCAACACCTAGAACATAGGTGACACATAGCAACAAATGATGATGGTGGTGGTGATGGTTAAATAGTGCTCCATCCGCCAGGCATTGGTCTAAATGGTTTAAGTATATGAGCTTGTTTACTCTTCACACTGACCGGGATCCCTGGGTGGCTCAGCAGTTTAGCGTCTGCCTTTGGCCCAGGGCGTGATCCTGGAGTCCCGGGATCGAGACCCGGATCGAGACCCACGTTGGGCTCCCAGCATGGAGCCTGCTTCTCCCTTCTCCCTCTGCCTTGTTTCTGCCTCTCTGTGTGTGTTTCATGAATAAATAAATAAAAATCTTAAGAAAAAAAAAACCTCTTCACACTGACCCTATGAGGTAGAGAGGTCCACCATATATGGATGTGAAGAACATATACCACACAAGGATCCCACATCAACTATGGCAGTATTCCCATCCAGGATGTATTCATCAATTTCTGGTAGATAGCAGTAATGTATTTTGTTCTACCAAAATAAACACTTTAAAGTAATTTAAGAAAGAAGTGTCATTTTCTAGGTATAGAAATGCATTAGCCCTGAAGGTGGGAATTATTCAGAACTCTGTTTCACAGATTAGAAAACTGAGGGCCAAAGAGGTAAAGGGGTTTATCCCAGGCCATAATTCAGAAACCCTGGGGTTGGGATTTTGGGATCAGACCCTTGCCCAGAGACACCAAGTCACTCTGTCCCCACAGGTGTGTCCTGCTGAGACTCTGGGGTGCTTCCGGCTGGAGCTGTCTGTGATCCAGTTCGAAGAGGGCCCATCCTTGGGGATTGCGGTGTTCCGGCTACAGCGTCTGCTGGATGCCCTGGGGTCTCGGCTGTGGGTGACTGGCCAAGGCCCTTGTCCACCCTGCGAAGGACATCCTCAGAGACCTGTCCCTCTCTTTCTGTCGAAACTCTTAGAGTTATTACAGGGGGCTTGTGCTCAGCACCTGCCCTCAGCATGAGCCTGGGAAGACACAGACTCCCTGGTACTGCTGGAGAGGCTGGGTGGAGAGAGGGAGAGAGGACTTGGGTTTCTAGCCCCCCAGTTCCCAGTCCTAAGCCTTCTTCTAGGCCAGAGGACCCCATCTGGAGCCCAAGGAGCCAAGGGGGAGAGGAGAGAAGGAAAATAAGATCTGAAACCTGAAGTCTCTGACCTCCTGGGATGGGAGTGGGTAGATAAATCGGCTCTCACCTGCCTCTGCTCTCCCTCTCAGATACTCCCTCCTCTCTCCTCTTCTGGGTAAGGACAGGATTGCACAGATGTCTTCTAACCTAATCCCACCCCTAGAGGACAGACAGAGAGAGGCTTGTGCCTCAAGTCCCTGAATACAAATAATTACCACCTGGAGAGCTTTGAAATAATACTGATGGCAAGGCCCCAACCCAGAGATTTTGATAATTGGTCTCTGGTGGATCCTGAACATCTATAGTTTTAAAATGAACTTCATTGAGGTATAGTTTATGTACAGTAAAAAGCATACATTTCAAGTGGACAGTTCATTGAGTTTGGACAAATGTATACACACAGCCACATTTCTATCACCCCAAAGCATCCTTCATGCCCCTTCCCAGTTAATCTTCACCTCCAGTCGTAGACACCCACCAGTCTGCTTTCTCTCTGGATTAATTTTGCTTTCTCTAGGGTTTCATATGAATGGAATTGTACTATGTATATATATATTTACATATATTCTAGTGTCTGGTTTCTTTCATTCAGCATGTTTTTGAGATTCATTCATGTACCAACCAGCAGTTTGTTACTATTCCATCGTATAGATGCACCCCAATTTGTTTATCCACTCTCCTCATGATGGATATTGGGCTGTTTCCACTTTGGGGCTATTGTGCATCGCTCTCTTCTTCCATCTTATGTACCACTGGGGCTGAAGGTTGAGAACACCTGACACACAAAGGAAGAACTTTCTATGGGGAGAAAATTACTGTTTCCTGGAGTAAATGTCTTTTTGCAGCAAGGTCAATAAGCATTTTATATGTAGAATCCTATTTTGAAGGGCTGCTGTTTAAAGGAACCGAGCTTGGGGGACAGTTGGGTGGCTCAGCGGTTGGGCATCTGCCTTTGGCTCAGGGCGTGATCCTGGGGTCCCCGGATCAAGTCCCACATACAGCTCCCTGCTGGAACCTGCTACTCCCTCTGCCTGTGTCTCTGTGTCTCTTGTGAATGAATAAAATCTTAAAATAAAAATAAATAAATTAATTAATACATAAATAAAAAAATAAGACCGAGCTTGGGATGCTTGGGTGGCTCAGTGGTTGAATTTCTGCCTTGGACTCAGGGTGTGATCCTGGGGTACTAGGACGGAGTCCTACATCAAGCTCCCTGTGGGTAGCCTGCTTCTCTCTCGGCCTATGTCTCTGCCTCTCTCTGTGCCTCTCATGAATAAATATATATACAAATAAATAAATCTTTAAAAAATGAATAAAGGTGAACACACCTGGGTGACCCAGCGATTGAGTGTCTGCCTTTGGCCCAAGGCGCGATCCTGGAATTCTGGGATGGGGTCCCACATCGGGTTCCCTGAATGGAGCCTGCTCCTCTCTCTGTGTCTCTGCCTCTCTCTCTCTCTCTCTCTCTTTCTCTCATGAATAAATAAAATCTTTTAAAAAATGAATACACGAACCAATTTTATAGAAAGGAAAACATAGAGTGACCAGCCCCTCCCCAGTTTATATTGGTTTCAGTCTGGGATTGTTGGATCAGGGAGTGTATATTCATTCCCTGGTAGCTGTCTTGTGAGCCAGTTGGTGGCCAAACCACATATTACCCTGTACTAGGTGCATATTAAAATTTTGTAAATTGAATCCAGGTGTCTCAATGCTTATGCAAGAAATTTTAGCAATTTTTTAAAAAGATTTTATTTATTTATTCATGATAGACATAGAGAGAGAGGCAGAGACACAGGGAGAGGGAGAAGAAGGCTCCGTGCCAGGAGCCTGACGCGGGACTCGATCCCGAGACTCCAGGATCGCGCCCTGGGCCTAAGGCAGGCGAGAAACCGCTGAGCCACCCAGCAATGTGTTTTAAAAGTTTGATTTTTTTCCCCCCTTCATCAGATTAATTTTTCTTCTCTCTCATCGCCTGGTCCTCTGCCACCTGTCAGACAAATAATTACTAATATGTAAATTCCCGTTGACTTAAACTTAGGGATTTGTAAAGGAAAGCAAGGGTTTTTAAGCGTCACCCACACTTGGGGAGGAGTCTTAGGTCTGCCCTTGCGCAGTTAGTTTATTTTTCTGAGCTTCAGTTTTCTTGTCGGCAAAATGGGGGTACTTACCTTCTAGGAATCTTTTAGAGGTTCTAGGGGATAAAGCCTGATTTGTCTGCTAATTCATTATTATTTAGTCATTCCCTGACTCCTCGCGGCTTGGCACACCGCATCGGTTAAGTACAAGCTCGAGCTCCTGGTTGGAAATGCCCAACGGAGAAGGGGAGGAGCTGTACCCCTCTTTGACACTCCCAAGATGTCGACTCCATGCTTACGTTAGGCAGACCTGCCACTTTGAAGATGGCGCCCAGGAAGTGCGTCACCGGAGACCAGCTCCGGAAATCTCGCGTTAGGCGAGGCCAACGGGTAGGTTCTCGCGAGAGGGCACGTCAGTCCCAGCCGGGCGTCGTGTGAACAGCTGCTGGTACCGAAGGCTGAGGTGGAACCGGAGCGGTGAGGGGTGGGTCGGTCGCCGAGGTGGCAGCACCGAGGGTCGCCGGGGTCCAGGGAGGCTTAGAGCCCGGATTCGGGGACTCGGAAGGTGTACCAGGTGGCTTAGGGATAGCCTTTCGAGACCACGGTTGCCAGAACGAGGCTGCCGGAAGTGCGCTAAGGGATTTTTCTTCTCCCCGGGAACTGGCGGGGAAACTGAGGCTGGGGTGGGGCCGTTGTTTGGGGGACGCACTGAGGCCGCCGTCTTTTCCTGCAAGAGCAGAAGATGTCGGACAGCGAGGACAGCAACTTCTCCGAGGAGGAGGATAGTGAGCACAGCAGTGACGGCGAGGAGGCCGAGGTGTGTGGCTGGGACTTGGTGGGGAGGCATCGCGCCTGGGGCAGGACCAGGGCAGAAGGGCCCCTGTGGGAGCTCGGAGGACATCAAAACGAGCTCTGGCCTCTGGGAGCTTCCAGCTTGCTGGTAGTGATAGAGAAGTAGGCAAGCCTAAGTCCAGCAGAGGGATGGGTGCGCGAAGCCAGGGATGCGCCAGGTACAGTGAAATAACAGGACCTGGCGTAGAGCAAGCACTCCCTGTTCGCTTCTATTTTGGGGTGTGCATTTCATGTCAGAAATATATTTTTAGTGCCTACACAATTCTTTGCCCTGGGCCGGCACCAATAAACAAAACAGACTTTGAAAGTCTTTTTGCTCCTTGTTTCTAAGTAAACATAACTAATAAGTTTATCGTTTAGTAAGGCAGAGGGTACCCTGGAGAAAAGTAGCGAAGGGGAATAGGAAGTCTTGGTCAGTTTTAAGTAAGGTGAGCCTGAGAGGGTGATGTTTGAAAAAAGACATGTTGGAGGTGAGGGAGTGAGCCATGTGTAGAAGTTAAAAGTGTTGCAGTAAGGGGGGCAGCACGTGCAGAGTTGGGAGCGTGGGCCTGCGTGTTCAAGAAGTAACAAGGAGGGCAGCCCTGGTGGCGCAGCGGTTTAGCACCGCCTGCAGCCTGGGGTGTGATCCTGGAGACCTGGGATCGAGTCCCACATGGGGCTTCCTGCATGGAGCCTGCTTCTTCCTCTGCTTGTGTCTCTGCCTCTCTCTCTCTCTCTGAATAAATAAATAAATCTTTAAAAAAAAAAAAAAGAAGTAACAAGGAGAGCATGTGCCGCAAAGAAGTAGCAGGAGCCAGATCATATAGGATCTTGAAGGTTCTGCTGAGGAATTTGTCCTGGTTGAGTGGGACAGAGCCGTGAGAAAGGTTTTGAGCAAAGAAAGGGTGTGATCTCATGTTTTGAAAGGATTACTCTGGCTTTGGCTCTATTTGGTTCATCTGATTTTAAATATTCTGCTGTTACCTGTTTTCCTCTTTTGTTTACTTCTGGCTTTTTCGCTGATTAAATAAATGTTTGAGCAGCTACTCCTGTGTTCCAGATTCTTCCTTAGGTGTTGAAGAGAGGAGCCAGGCAAATTTTCTTTCAGAGTTTACACTTAGTAGGCAACAGTTGCAAACTAACAAAGAGAGGACTTGATGATTGTAAATGTTTCTTTTAACCTCCAGAAAGGTAAATCAGGTTTTTTTGTTTGTTTTTGTTTTGTTTTTGGCTTTTTTAGATTTTATATATTTATTCATGAGAGAGAGAGCGAGGCAGAGGGAGAAGCAGCTCCATGCAGGGAGCCTGACTTGGGACTTGATCCCGGGTCTCCAGGATTATGCCCTGGACTGAAGGCAGCGCTAAACCGCTGAGCCACCGGGGCTGCCTCTAAATCATTTTTAAAGTTAGTTGCCAACATTTGTAAGGACTGTTTCATGTAAAAGTCATGATTTTCTGCTTTTCTGGGAAAGTGAGAGGATCCAGCAACATGAGACCCAGGACTGTTCTACCCAGCAGCTCTTTTTTTTTTTTTTTTAAAGATTTATTTATTTATTCAGAGAGAGAGCGAGAGAGAGGCAGAGACACAGGCAGAGGGAGAAGCAGGCTCCATGCAGGAAGCCCGATGTGGGACTCGATCCCGGGTCTCCAGGATCACACCCCAGGCTGCAAGTGGCGCCAAACTGCTGCGCCACCGGGGCTGCCCCCCAGCAGCTCTTGGCTTGGCAGCTCTTGGTAGAATGGGGAATTTTCTCCCATTTCCTGGTATATATCAGTTGCCATTTATCATCATACCTGCCTTGTGGTGGATTTAAGTAAACATTTCATATACTTGTGTCCTAGGAAACATCAGGTAGAGAGTGCCATGGATTTCCTTTGACCTGCTCCACTTACTTTTGTTCTTTTCTTGCTCTCTGTAGGTATTTGATTGTCAATCCTTGTGCTCTCTGGGGAATCCTCAGCCTCCAGTGAAGAGTTGAAGGAATTGGGAAGCCATCGTCAGGGTGGGGAAAGTGGGAGGATGCTAGGAAGGGCTTTTGCTTCAAGCAGCACTGGGTTCTTGGTTTCTCTGACTCATGGCTTCAAGACACTGTTTGTGGTTAGATCCTGGTGGTAATAAGAACACGATCCCTGCGTCCTTTTCCTGGCTGGGGCATCTGGTTTGCTGTGTCCAGATCTCACTTCCCAACACCACACCAGGCTCTTGACTCACCTGCTGGCTTGTCAGCTATCACCAGATGAGGCAGGAGGACAATGAAAGGCCAGCCAGAGATAGGACTGGATAGGCTTATTGGACAGCCAAATGTTAGCATGGTCTTTGAAGGACCAGGCCTTGTGGAACAAAGAAGGTACGGATGGCAGACGATGAGCCAATGTTGAGGGGAATGAGCCGTTTCACCATTCTCAGTCCCAGTTATGTGCTCATTCATTCGATGAACATGTGTTACTAGTATCGCTGTCATGATGGGTCACAGGCTCCTTCATGGAGCTCTCTGTCCTGGGGTAGAGATAATTGTACAAACAGATGGTTACTTCAGGGGATTGTGAGGATGCCCAGCGTAAGAGCATGTTCAAGCTTCAGGATAACACAAAGATAGTAATAGGAGCTCTCTCCTCAGTGATTGGGGAGCCAGGTTTGGAGAGAAGGTTTTGCTGGGACTGAGCCAGGAGAATGATGACAAGGTTCCTTGAAATCAAGCTGTGGTCCTGTGGTAGTTTGAGTTGTTAAAAAGTGGGACATTGTGAACTAGTCAGGAATATGTATGAAACAAATATTTCAGTTGCTTCAGTTCCTATCCCTGGACTGGGTGATGTTAGAAACCTAGCAATGCCTAAGACAGCCTGGGCCCTGCTCTTAGGGAGCTCACAGTGGTACAAGGCTGTGATGGAGGAAGCTCAGAGGATATGCCTGACTTTGCTGGGGATGGGGGGTAGCATGACTTCCTGAAAAGGGGGGTATTTTGATTGAAGTATGAGTAAGAGTCAAAGGAGAATGGCTTTTTTTTGCAGAGGACCAGCATGGGCAATGGATAGCACAGAGAGCATGGTATGAGTAGTTCAGTATGGCTGGGACCTAGCATTTGGGTGAGTGGGGAGCCTAAAGAGGCAGGATGAGAAGGAGAGGCAGTGGGCAGAGTGTATGCTTCTAGTCTAGGCTGCTAGGGAGCTAGTTCTTTACCTGAGGGCAGTGGGAAACCATGGCCATGTTGTTTCAAGCAGGGAACCAAATGACCCATTTTTGTGTTGATCATATTTAGTTTCCCAAGACTATAGGTTACATTCCAGGTAGGGGTTGATGAGAGGTGGTTTTAGGTGGGATAAGAACAAGACCTCAAGCCACATTGAATCATCATGAAGTTATTTCCTGTATAAGTTGCATGTCCTGTCTTTTGGTTGGGTCACAGAGAAAGTTTCA